TACTACTAATGATGAAGCAATTATTTTCAAAATGTCACAAAATGAAACAGTTGGAAATGGAAAACTTCTCCTAAAATCGAAGGAGTGATACCTTGCGTGACGATTACCTATTCACAACATTCTATGAAATATCAAACACAATACTACGCTGTACTGTAGCTCAAATGCCGAAACATGTAAAGAAGCTACCTCGAGACAGGCAAGGTAGTTAAAAATAAACTTCTTTTAAAGGCATTGATTTTAAACCTTACATTGTGCAACAGAATCTTCGGATATCCCATTCCTGTGTCTGATGAGTGGATATGTGTATCAGACAAAGAAAACGGATTAAGTACCGGAGGCTTCAGGCTGTTCCCCTTTATCGTTCATATCTGTATTTTGTTCCTATCTCATTTTAAATCCATTTGAGCAATTAAAAACACACAGTTTTTAAAATCTGCAATATACTACTAAAATTCTCACGTTTTACTTGTGTTCACTAAACTTCACTAAACCTGTCACAAAGTAGATTCGTAAAAATCAGACTAGTGAGATTGATATTATTATTATTATTATTATTATTATTATTATTATAAGATAATGTCGTTAATGTATTGAGGTGAAAATGCGGAATATTTGTAACAAAAGTAATATACGTTATTCCGACATGCTATTAAGGTTGATTATTTATTACATGCGAAATTCATTTTATCTTTTATCATATACGACAGCAAATGTGTAACACTGAGAAAAAATCCTGTGAGAATAACGGCTCCTCAAAAAATTCTAAGTGACATTAGGAGATTGGCTCATTTTGCAGTAGGCATTGTGCAGATGCCTGTAAAAGTAATGATGGTAGCTGAATATCATAGCTGCTTGTGATAGCCTCAGACTACATCAAATCGATTAGTTATTCTGTCATACAGGTATATGGCACAAAAAATCTCAATATCACGTCATTACTGAACAGTGTTGCATTTGATGACTAATCCACACATACAATAGTTTGCATCACTTTTATAAACTGTGATATTAATAAGATTAAACCAGTATATTCAACCTCTATATCTCAACTTCATCGACTTTGAAAATGCCTTCGACAGCATCGATTGAGAGGTGATTTAGAAACTACTTCGCTACTATGGGGTGCCGTCAACAACTATATACCTCATTCAACAGTTGTACGACAACGCTGCATGCCAAGTAACCCACAACGAGAAACTCACGGAATCCTTCGAAGTGAAGACGGAAGTAAGGTAAGTTGGCTACCTACTATCTCCAATGATTTTTCTGATCGAGGGTGGTAGACTAGATAATACGACAGACAGAGGGCCAGGCAACGAGGAGACAGGCTTAAAACGAACCCACACAAAAATCTTGGAGGATCTCAACTCCGCTGATCATATGTGTTTGATTTCTCACAAACTAGAAGATATGCAAGTGAAAAGCAACAAGTTGGCAGAAGAAGCATCAAAGATAGGACTTCACTTCAGGTGAGCATAGAGAAAACAGGGGTAGGTGATGAAGATTCCTGGCCAACAGTAACAGCAAAAGACAAAATTCAGCCGGTATAAATGGCGGAATTCTGAAAGAATCAACCTCCTCTAACTACCTACCGACATACTTGGGAAGCATCGTTTCAACTACAGGTGGACGGAACTGGT